GTCCTTGCGCATGTCATCATGATCTATGACTTGGTTTTCTTGAGCTGTCCTTTGAAATGTTCTATTCAGCTCTTTGACTTCATCATTTCTTCCAATGTTTTAACTACTCTGCCATGAAAAGCAAGTTTCAGAGTCTCTTCTGACATTTACTTTTCTTTCTCTCCTGTCTTTTTTATGACCTTTAACTTTCTTCATTAATGATGTTCTCGAAGTCCCCACACAGCTCATCTGATCTTCTGTCATTAGAGTACAATGTGTCAAATGTGTTCTTGAGATGTTCTCAAAATTCTAATTCAGAATGACCAATATTAGTATATTACAGCTCACTACTGCCTAGGGTATCAATCTGTATGGATTCCATTTCATTTTTGACAACTTCCAACTTTCTGAGATTCATACTTCACATATTCCAAGTTTGGATCATAAGCAGATTTTTGCGGCAGTTTCTCTTTACCTTGAGTGTTGCCCCATCATCAAATGAAGATACTGAAGGCTCCACTACTACAGGCTTTACGGGACCCATCTCTTTATGGTGCAGTGAGCTGGGGACTCGGGGAAGGAAAAATTCTAGGCTCAAATTCAGCCCTGGTCTTTAGAGAAATGTGTAGGTGTGAAATTGCTTTGTAATCTGTATCTATTTCTAGTTCTGACTCTTTCTTCTCTAGCACTGACTGGAATTGGTAACCCTGTCTGTAAAACTTCATAAATCCAATACATATGTGTTGTGTGTTTTGCATGCCCATGGCTGAGGAGACTAAATGTGATTAGGATGGCACACTAATCTGCTCTTTTCTTCTGTCTCAGAGACTACGGTGGCTCCAAGGAATCCTTTTGTTCCTCTTAATCTTCAAAAGCATCTGTCCTCTCAGCACTCCCAAAACAATGGTCTACTACTCCTTCTTGCTGTGCCACTCAGACTCCATGGCCATCACTCAAGGGGTAAGAACAGTCTACATTCTGCTGTTGCTTCACCAATATATCGGTACAATTCAAGTCCTCACTTCCTTAGTCCCTTCTCCAGGGAAAGTTTGTTTTCTCAAAAGGTAAAACAGCCATCTAGAATCCTAATCTAACTAACGATACTCTTATTGTGGAAAGTTGACAAGAATTGTGTAATAAGCCACGATTGTGACAATGAGAATCACATCTGTCTTATATTTCCAATGGCTTATTATTATTACCAATAATTATTATTATCATCATTTACTGACCTTTGTCTAAGTGCGAGGAATGGTACATGAAGCTTCTCATACATGGCCTCATTAAATGATTGCTACAAACTCATTGAAGGTATTGCCCTTTGTTATAGATAAGGAAAAGGAGACTGAGAGACGTGAAACAGTTCATCTTGGTGGTATACTCTCACCAGTAAGCATGTGTTCTCAGAAAACCTAACTTGAATGCCTCTGTTCTCCTACCACCTTCACTTCCGCTTCTAAGACATTCTTAGCATGGTGTGGGCACACTGAAGTTTGGGGATGGTGCTGCTATCTGGTGAAATGGGTGAAGCTAACAACAAGGAGGGTCATCGTCTACTCTGGCCCTGGGACAAAGACTCCTGGGGTGTGACTGACTCTGCTTCGCCCCAGTGTAAGGAAGTACCTGGATCCAAAGAAAGGAGCAGGGATGTCACCTTTGTAGTAACACAGAATTGTGACCATGTAATGGGGCTCCTGGGTCATTGGTCCTAAGAGGGCTATGACTTTCAGGATCTTGGCTTGATTA